TGAGTCCAACATTATGCTTTTGAAATTGAACACATGTAATTTGAGTCCAGTTGATGTCTATGCAGCAAGCCTTCATACTATGGGGTTTTATGATCAGGTCATTTCAGTCGTGTGACCTGTACCTAATCAATTCAGGTTTCCAAAAAGGCTTCCAGGGTGACATCCTTCAGGAAATCACGAGTCTTCTCAAGTGTCATGCAATGCTACTTGGCATCTTAAGACTTTCTCTTGCATAGATGACAACCTCTGGCCCAATCATCAATACGCACAGCTGGAAGTTGTGTGTCCAGTTGCAAAAGTGAATCTCATATATTGTCTTTTCAGTGTATATTTAGGCACACTGTTCAAATTTTGACTCGAGCAATGATACAATAACTGTGTAGATTTGACATGACTACCAGTATTTATTTTGCACTTTCACTGCCGATTCTTTTTTGTACTTTTCCTTTTTCCTTGGATGGTTTCTTTTTGAGACTTCACTTGTGCATTTTCTAACCACTTTTGCACCTTGAATTTGCATTTGCAAGTGCCTGCCGTCTTGTGTTGTGCTTACTCCTAATAATTTTTTTCTTTAAATTTTGGTAATGATGAGTAATGACTGTGAAAAGTATTGTTTTAAAATCAAAACAGAAGTTATTTTTTTAAAACTAATAACTCTTTTGTAAGTTAAGTTTAACAGATTGCTTTGGACAAGATACTGAGTAATAAGATGAGTGCCATTAACATGAAACTTACTTTGTGTCGCAGGGTAAAATTAATTCTAGCAAGGGTCAGTACAATTCTGTTTTCAGTTTGTCAGATGATAAAGAATATTGTTCAAGCAAATTTATAGTTCTACAACAGTTAGATGGGTAACATATGATAAATTTAAATTAAATACATGACTTATAGCATTTCCAAGTCTGAAAAGCAGAAAGAAATGTGAACTTTGTACACATGCTTTTATTTCTATTTTTTTGTATCCAAGTGCCATATGTCCAGCTGGGCACTGGGCTTAATATATTGTTTTGATTTTTTTATTGTTGTATCTTTTTCCAAAAGACAGAAATTGGTGTAATGAAAGAAAATGGAAAAATAGGATTAAACAAAAAAAATTCTATATACACTTATTTCTATATACACTATTGCTCTCTCTCTCTGTCTGTCTATCAATGTATCTCTTTATCCCTGTTCCAGTCTCCCTTATTCTCTCCCTTTCCTCCTCTTCCTTCTCCTAATTCTCTTCCTCTTCCATTTTCTCCTTCTCCTTCTTCTCTTCTTCCTCCTTCTCCCTTTCTCCTCCATCTTTTCTTCTTCTCAGTCTCTTCTTCTCTGTCTCCTTCTCTTTCTCCTCCTTCTCCTCCTTCACCCTTCCAAAAATTCCTAGACAGTTTTTTGGACATCAAACTGGGTGCTGTTTTTAAACAGAAAGAAAAAATGTGTTAAAAAGACAGCTAAAAGTCGAGTACAACATGAGGCGGTTGTACAAGAAAAGGAACCTAAGGGTCACCAATGAATGGAAAGAAAACATAAAACTTTATTGAAAATTTTGTTTGCATGAAGAAGATTGAGTTTACTTCCTTTTGTTGTCAATAATAAAACTGATTTATGTGTCGTTGACATGTGTAGATGTCTGGGATTTCAGCCATGTGTATGTTATGAATAATCGTGAATTTCAGTTACAAAATATCTCGCTTAAGTTCATGTAATCAGAAATAACTAAAGTCATGCTCTGGCCCATGCCTCTAATGTCCCAGGATCTTATTAAGGCCTGTGCTCCCCATCAATAGGATTAATGTAATGTGATTGTCAAGTTTGCAGTTGAATGTGTTGGTGGCATCAACGCACAACTGCTGTTACGTTACCATAATAATTTCCTGATCTTCCATAATAATGCCTTCCATCGATACTTCCATCGATACTTCACAACATGCAAGGGGCAAAATGAGATAACAACTGTCTTCTACAGTTGTGTTTAACTTAAAAATGAACTAGGTTTTTTAAAGAAAATACTAACTGCACAAAGTTCATCCGAATTTCTTTAATCACTTCAGTTCCCTTTGGCTTGAATTCAGTTTATGAATAATTAACTGCGGCCTCCTTGTGTGGCAAGGAAGGATGTAACAAATGATATCTTTAGGAAGGGACAGTGAAGAAGATATATATGACATTTAAAAAGGAAGAGCAATTAGTGCAAAGTCTTGTAGAATTTTCTGCCTTCTGCCTTTAGGCCCAAAATAATAGGGTATGTAGATGGATTCCTCTGTGCTCAGGTTTTGCTGAATGCCTTAGTTTTTATCAAGGAAAATAAGTCCCATGCAGTATCCTATACATATTTCCATTATGCAATAGCCTCTCAAGAGTGAATACAAAGAGGAAAAGTCAAAACAATATCTTTCCTTAAAATTTACTAAAAGTTTAATATCCAAAAAAATAACTCAACCAAAATGTTCTGTTAACAATAACAAAGGATTCCCATTCCATGCATTTCTTCTACCAGCGTTTAAGAGCCACCAAAGCCATTCACTGCCTAATTAGATTTCATTCATTCATTCATCCCATTCACCCTACAGCCAGAGGTCATTTATTCATTCATTCGCTGACACCATACGCGATGGCTGTATAACATAGTTATTTCCTGTGGCCATATCCTCCGCCGCCTCCGAAGGCCCCAGGGCCCACCACGCCTGTGGAGTATCCACTGTGGACATCCTGCACCACGTTCAGGCTGTAGGTTGGGACGTTCGTCAGATATACTCTGGAAAAGGAGAAAAATTTAGCGCATATTCCAATAACATAATGTTTATGTTTTCTAGGTTCCGTGTGTGTGTGTGTGTGTGCGCGCGCATCTATCTATCTATTTATATATACACAAATATATATTCTTAAACGGTGAAATACAAGAGAGAGTTGTCATAACTTACGGCACGCTTCCGCCCCCGCCGTAGAACCCGGTGCCGCCCCGCCAAAGCCTCCTGCTCCTCCTAGTCCTCCCCCGCCATGTCCTCCGCCGCCATAGCCTCCTCCTCCTCCGCCATAGCCTCCTCCTCTATTTTTGGGAGAATAACGTGGACTTTTACAATGTTGAGATAAACTACATGCAGAAATATCTACTGTTTTTCTGATGGATATGTACATGACGTTTTGCAACATCCAGCTATTGCTTGAAGGAAGAATGAAATCTTCATCGTGTTTAAATAATAGCAAAAATTTATATGATCGTTTATAGTGAATTTCGGGGCATGTACTTCCACTATCACATATACGCTATTGTCGCCATTATTTTCACATCAAATAATCCAGAGGTATCAAGACTAATATGGTACCATTATTAATGTCATATTCTCGATACATTTATCATGAAATTATTTTCACAACATGACTAGAATTATTGGTATCGTAATCAGACCATTAAACTAATTAATCAAGAGTAGGAATGAAAAGAAGTAAAACATAATTTAATATCAGAGATAGTATTTCTTGCATTAGTCAAATATGTAATCGCAGTCTATGTGGAAACCCGAGATGTTTGAATTCTTCTCTTATAAGACATTCAGAAGTTTTGAAGTCATTTATTTAGCTAAAAGTTACTGCTAAATACCAACGTTTCCTACAACACATATGATTATCAGGAGTTCAATCCTTTTATTTAAGTTATCCCTAGTACAGAAGTCACATTTTCTACCATGCTCTTAAAAGTTCGTTTTCTACATTTCTTACCGGGTAGACTTACCCAAATGTGTATCCGGCATCAACAGAGAAAACACAAACGCAGAGGAAGATCTGGAAAGAAAAGTATATATTGCAGTATTGTACAATAATTCAGAAACTATGAATATTCATGTTAAGACTGATATCTAATGTCATATGTAAACAAGGTCGGATCCGGACATTTCAGAAAGGGGGGGGGGTGGAACTCAAAAAGTTAAAGACAGATTTTGATTATTCTTTCACAAGAAATGTACCTTGGTCCAACTCATTAAATTTTGGTTCTGAATTTTTATAGAGATCATATCAGTTACCCCTAATGATTTGACAAAAAGTGTAACTATTGTTACGGTTAGCATTGCAAGATACGGACAACTTTTTGGAGTTTGAATTATTCTCATTATCCAATTGCTTTGGCGGAGGTATGCGCTCTCTGAGTGCCTCTAGTTGTTCTTGCAGTTAATG